TGCAAACATGACTTTTATCTCTGGAACACTATACCTTTTGGATCCTTTTGGTGCTTTTTGGGGTTCTGACGTTCTAAGTGTTGTTTGATCAGCAAGCTCCGTAGGAAACATAGACATAATTTCGTACCATTTGGCTTTTCCCTCCCATATGATTTGCAAATATTGGCGTCTTTATCTCTGGAACACTATACATTTGGTGCTTTTTGGGGGTTCTGACGTTCTAAGTGTTGGATTCAGCAGCTAATTCCGTAGGAAACATAGACATAATTCGTACCATTTGGCTTTTCCCTCCCATATGATTTGCAAACATTGGCGATCTTTTATCTCTGGAACACTATGCCTTTTGGATTCTTTTGGTGCTTTTTGGGGGTTCTGACGTTCTAAGTGTTGGATTCAGCAGCTAATTCCGTAGGAAACATAGACATAATTTCGTACCATTTGGCTTTTCCCTCCCATATGATTTGCAAACATTGGCGATCTTTTATCTCTGGAACACTATACCTTTTGGATCCTTTTGGTGCTTTTTGGGGGTTCTGACGTTCTAAGTGTTGGATTCAGCAGCAAATTCCGTAGGAAAACATAGACATAATTTCGTACCATTTGGCTTTTCCCTCCCATATGATTTGCAAATATTGGCGATCTTTTATCTCTGGAACGGTATACTCTTTGGTGCTTTTTGGGGGTTCTGACGTTCTAAGTGTTGGATTCAGCAGCTAATTCCGTAGGAAACATAGACATAATTTCGTACGATTTAGCTTTTCCCTCCTATATGATTTGCAAATATTGGCGATCTTTTATCTCTGGAACGCTATACGTTTTGGTGCTTTTTGGGGGTTCTGACGTTCTAAGTGTTGGATTCAGCAGCTAGTTCCGTAGGAAACATAGATCGACATAATTTCGTACCATTTGGCTTTTCCCTGCCATATGTTTTGCAAATATTGGCGTTCTTTATCTCTGGGACACTATGCCTTTTGGTGCTTTTTGGGGGTTCTGACGTTCTAAGTGTTGGATTCGGCAGCTAATGCCGTAGGAAACATAGACATAATTTCGTACCATTTGGCTTTTCCCTCCCATATGATTTGCAAACATTGGCGATCTTTTATCTCTGGAACACTATACCTTTTGGATCTTTTTGGTGCTTTTTGGGGGTTCTGACGTTCTAAGTGTTGGATTCAGCAGCTAGTTCCGTAGGAAACATAGACATAATTTCGTACCATTTGGCTTTTCCCTCACAAATGATTTGCAAACATTGGCGATCTTTTATCTCTGGAACACTATACCTTTTGGATCCTTTTGGTGCTTTTTGGGGGTTCTGACGTTCTAAGTGTTGGATTCAGCAGCTAATGCCGTAGGAAACATAGACATAATTTCGTACCATTTGGCTTTTCCCTCCCATATGATTTGCAAATATTGGCGATCTTTTATCTCTGGAACGGTATACTCTTTGGTGCTTTTTGGGGGTTCTGACGTTCTAAGTGTCGGATTCAGCAGCTAATTCCGTAGGAAACATAGACATAATTTCGATTCCACTGCGAATTCCAATTTTCTGCAATATTTCAATTGCGTTTTATAAAAGGAAATTCAATTGATTTCGAAAGTGAAAACAAGAGTTTTTTTAAAATTAAGGTTTTAAATTTATTATTAGGGTCCGCTTCGGAATCCAATTTTTGGCAATATTTAAATTGAAATCGAAAAAAATGGTTTTTCTTATTAAGGGTTTTAATTTATTATTTAGGTCCGCATCGAAATCCAATTTGTGGCAATATTTCAATTGCGTTATACAAGGAAATTTGATTGATTTTGAATCCAAAAAAATAGTTTCGTTTTATTAAAGGTTTAAATTTATTAGGGTCCGCTTCGAAATCTAATTTTTGGCAATAGTCTAATTGCGTTATAAAAGGAAATTTAATTGATTTTGAATCGAAAAAACTTGTTTTTTTATTAAGGGTTTAAATTTATTATTAGGATCCGCTTCGAAATCCAATTTTTGGCAATATTTTAATTGCGTTATATAAGGAAATTTCACTGATTTGAAATCGAAAACATAGTCTTTCTTTTTAAGCGTTTAAATTTATTATTAGGGTCCGCTTCGAAATCCAATTTTTGGCAATATTTTTCATTGTGTTATATAAGGAAGTTTAATTGATTTTGAAATCGAAAAAATAGTTTATATAGCGACGGACAATCACTTAGCACGTTCTAAGTGTTGTTTTACGTTCTAAGTGATAAATGGGCCTAAGTGATATTTTGACGTTCTAAGTGATGAATTTTCCCTACGTTCTAAGTGATGAAATTTTGCTACGTTCTAAGTACGAAAAAAAATTGGAAAAAATTTACGTTCTAAGTGATTGTCCGTCACTATATCTATCTATCTGTCCATCTATCTATCTATCTACCTATCTATCTATCTATCTGTCTATCTATCTATCTATCTGTCTATCTATCTTTCTATCTTTCTATCTATCTATCTATCTGTCTATCTATCTATCTACCTATCTAT